TTACAATTTGAATTGAACAATACAAATGTGCTGAAATAACAAGTTAATTTATTGCACTCAGAATAACAGGATAACGGCGGGCGACAGCCAGCACCATGCACTACAATTTATCGTGGCAAACGGTAAAAGAATAAGATTCTCCTTTAACGGATTCTCAGTTAGCCGAACTTTTAACACTACCCGTCAGTTAGGCCAGGAGAGGCTTGACGTTGCGACTATCGACATTTTCCGTAAATGTCATCCATGGACTTTTGGTTGCAGCTGATTGAATAACTCGTTTATAGACATGTGACAAAGTGAACTTCACTAGTCCTTCGGTTGCAGCACAACACATTTGCGAAAAAGGACAGAAAACAGTGGTTAACAAAAACAAGCAACAAAATTCAGAATTGATGCTAAACATATATAGATCAAATATTGGTGTTATTTGAGGTGGAACGAATCGACAATCTGTTGTTGCTCTTCGACTTATTTGGGTCATATTGTAAATACACGTGTTAAAAACTGTTGCGTGCAGAAGACTGGAAGCACCACTACACGGCATTGCGGTATTTGTGCAATCCCGAATGCACTCCGTCGAGCAAAAGCCATCCCATTACGTTAACGATATCACTTCGATCGAAGGAGATTCACTTTTTACGTTAAAAAGAACCTGCGTATCGAGGCCCTAGAAATAGCGAAACTACTTTTTATTGTCTTGTTTGTTTCATGTGGTTTATGACTGATCTCACTACACACCAATTGTCACAAAGAAATCAGAATTGGGAGTTGTTATGTGATAGGAATAGCCTAGTGTAGAACGTTAAACTATACAGAATGACTATTGTTAAGATGAGTTCCTACACCTTTTGAATATCGAACCATGCAGCAAATCTGTATGTGAAATGACCCACGCCCACTAAAATACACACCCACCATCTGTCCACAAAACTGCTTTGGGTCAGACGTTTGGACAACGAGAGCAATCGCGATTGTCATTTGGACAAGGAATTCATCCACTCATGTACACGCGAACAGACACATTGAACACAGGCAGTTCACAGGGTGCGGGGAATGATGACTCATTCAAAACAACCACTCATATGTCACGTGTCGTGTAAATGACCTAGCTACATACAGGTTAAGTTCCACACATCAACTCAAGGTGCGCTGGGGCTACGGAAATCAGTCTACGTGTAAGATCAAATGCAGTTTTCTTAAACAAGAAAGAAAGAAATTACTAACCAGTGACATAAAAAGGAATCACTTACTATCTCGTCCAAAGATCGCATATCCACAACCGGTCGCTGAATCTCCGGTTTACGCTTTACATTATCCTCATTCTGTTTGCTGTCAGAACAGTTGGTCGACCGTGAGGCACTTATTAGTCTTTTGTTTTTTAGACGTCGAAGTTCCGTTGCTCGTGTAGTACGCATTGCTCGGCTTTTATCTCCATCACCATCATGTTCATCGTCGTCTAACGGGACCCCGCCCGTTTCTGTGCCAATCGAACGGTGTGCACCCTCCGACCTCTGGCCGGCATAGATAACATATTCTTGTTCGGTAATTGATGAACAGCTGGAATGATCCCTGCGACGACTGTCACCATCAGGTGTAGTATCGTATTCTTCGAACGCTATCTCTTCGTCTATCTCAGCTTCCAGTTGAATTAGTTCCGGTATAGCCATACCCACGCCGCCACCCAAACGAGCCAATTCAAGTAGACAGACAGCCACATTTCGAGGATTCTTCCGACAAACCAAATCTTCACTTTCAAACAGTACACTATCGGGCATACCCAGTTGTCGACACCAGGCCAGGAAATTAGACACATTATCACGAGACACAAATGCGCTAGTCGCGTTCGCACTATTCAAGCCACGTAGCTGATAGATCGGACAGCGACTAGGTAGCATAGCTTGAGCTCCTCCAACTCGGACACCAACTAACAGAGTTCTGTTAGATTTTGTTAACAGCTCACATTGTTCTGCCAGGCGCTGATGCAACTGAGTGACGTGATGACACAAAAGAACACCATCGGAAAGGCGATCGAAGAAATTTTCCACTGTAAGGTCTTCTGTCTGGTTCGGATACATCTGGATAAACCAATCGACCAAATCCTCGGTCATCACTTGAAGTAACTCATCGCGATTGACAAACCCACCACTACCTTCGTAGTTCAGTTGTCCTGATGTGGCAATCGAATTGCTGGAACCAACTCGGCGGCTTGTTGAAGAATTTGTTTGAAAATATCCGCTGTCTTCATCAGTTATTCCACTACTGTCGCTGGGTGACACTTTGGCCGAGTGCAGCAATATTTCTGTTCCATCCGAGGCATTTGGCCCGCGAGCGTTCCGTGGACAATCCATGCAACCGCATGGTGAGTGACTTCGAGCCTCAGTCGCAGTATCATGAATATTCTGATTGGAATTGGCGTCGAGTGATAAATTAAGGTCATAAATTCGGTCTTCATAATGTAAGGTAGCAGGAGGTAACGAAGACGATCGGTTAAAATTTTTCAAATTCGCTGCCATGATTGATCTCACATCGACATAAGCCCGCACAATGTAAGGTGGTCTACATGACGCACTATAGTGAGACGTTAACGGCACGGTGCCTTGAGACGTTCAGCACGGCATGCACCGGTCGCGTGCCAACCTTTTCGCATGTGTTCAGTCAGCACGGGTGTTGAGAGAATGCTGTTCCATCTGCAGGCACGCGTGCGCACACAGCAGCTCCGACATCACGCGGTTCTGTCAACCAATCACCGGCGAGATGGCGTGGCATTCATTTCCAGTGGCCAATCAGAGTTGAGGTGGTAACAAGGACACGAGAGTTTAGTGACATATCACACACCGATTGGGGCAACTAACAAAGTACACAGGCGCACAATGGCCTGCAAGCAGTGTGCGTTATCGCCATTGTTTTTGAAATGCAACACTGCCTTAATAAGCAACAAATCCCCAGCTGTCAGATATGATCATTCGGCTCTACGATTCGATAGCTTCAGAAGACCGATTCGTTTTTTTCTTTGCAGGAAAAGAATAAGACCACAAAATGTCACACCTGAGTGTATATATAGATTTTGGGATGTGCGGCTAACTCAACAAACCGGATAACTCAAGTTTTTTATACAAACAAGAAAACTGCAATCACATTGTCTATTTTTATTCATAGCTCGATATGGAAATTTAGTCTTTTTTCCTTTCTTTCTTTTTACTTTTTACGTTCTTTTTTTTCTTTTTCTTTTTCATTTTACCTCCTTTTATTGAATATACAAAGATACAATTTTCAGGAAGGGGGAAAAGGCCTATCAAAGGGCTGCCATATAACACACAAATGGGGAAAGTCAGGCGGTGGTGGTGGGATTCGAACACTCGTCCTCCGGGATGATAATTGGTGACGTTACCACCGGGCCACTACAGCCCATACAGTGATACAGGAAGGGGAAAGCTGCCAACCAAAGGGCTTCTATTACAACAAAAAATGGAGAAAGCCAGTCAATTATCCGTGGGTGTACGAATATGTATAAGCTGTTTCATTGGATTTTACAATCGTGTATCATCTGATGTCAGCGTTGTACGATGATGGACTGGCAGAGTACACAATTTTTCGACCAGTTTCTCCAAAAATAAATGACTCAATGTTTCAATATTCTGACGGACATCTAGCACTACCATTGATAGTAAATGGACGGCACCATTGGCTTACCCGTTCGAGAACCAACCGAGTTTTGACAGAGGTGCATCGTTGTCAGCTGCGTGTAATACCAACAAAAAATGCTCAATGGATGTACATTAATTAAGTGATTCGGTAACGCGATAATCCGATGAAAAACAAACCATTATTCATACATACCGTTTTATATTGTCTCATGTCTGTGCAAAGAACACGCGGGAGCGGACCGACTGCTTTTTCCACACTTCATTGCTTGAAGTATGAGAACGAGATGGTGATATACTAATCTTCTGCTTTTGGAGCATTCACCTTCATTTAATGGTCGTTTTTATTGCCCAACAACGTCAGAAAATGTATGCACTGCTGCCCGTCCAGATAAAGATGAGCCAGGTGTCCATTTTAATGCATCCTGGAATGTATTTCTGCTTCTTTTCAGTCTCAAATCGATTTTCCTTTTCGCATAAACGGAGTAACGATTACGGAATTACTATTAATGGGATTGGGACCGATGTAGCTGCAGAATATTGCGTGCAAGCGGAGAAGGAATTCAAACCAATTCATTGAACCAATTTGATGTTAACAACGAGTAAGATCAAGCGGAAGCTGCAGCCTTCGCAAATGAAGTCTACAGTAAAATACATTTGGTTATTCAATTGTAAAACAATTGTGAAAAAATTCTAAGTCTACAACAGAAACCAAAGTTGTCAGGATCCAGAAAGTAAATAAAAGGAGACAAAATACTGAGTGAAAACATAACTATTGAACGTGGCAAGAAACTGTTAACATCTCAGTCACCGGTGCGTAGAAGGAGACGGGACTCGCCTGCGTCTCCTCATTCCACTAGTTAGTGAACGCGTCAGACTCCGAGAACGTAGTTTTACTTATGCGCCTATCGCATTCAGACACTTCCGGTTTGTCCATAAACTTCCAAGTCTGAGGAACCGTCAGTGAAACCCCGATGTGCATTACTGATTCTGAAATATCGATTTTAGACTTGTTAACCCTCATGGTAGATATAAATATATGTTTACCTCACGTGACACAATCTACTAGTTGAAATAGTGGTCATACATGCAACTCATGAATCATATATCTAATCAGAAACGCTATGTTAACTCCAAAACTAAGTTTTGGTGTACGTTTCTAATGCAAGTATCAAAAAGCCATACTTTTCGACCCACCTTATTCCCAAAAACAAACTGCAGAGTGTCGATAACAAAATGCGCACGAATAAGGCCCAATTTTTCTATCCCCTAATAATTCGCATCGGACAAGCCTTCTTGAGACATGACAGGTGGATCGATGTCAAACCACAATTTGCCTAAGGTGCCTGATGACGAGATGGAATGAGGTGGTAAACAAATTTGGTCTCGTTCATGCGAACCTTGTTGTTGGTATTCCAAAGTTGGGTTTTGGCAATGCCCATTTTCATGCTGGTTATATGTGGGTCAAAAAGTTGAAGGACGCTCACTTTTTTCGGTGAAGCTAATTTACACGAAAGGTTGTGATCATCTTCTCACTCACGGGTCGATATCATAGAGATAGTGGTAATGATGTAACTGAAATTGTTCTGTTCATATTGGTTTCCAGAAAGAAAGTATGGGTGATTCATAGGTCAATCGGCTTCGTCGCGAACTATTTATATGGCATCTGGGAGTGATGGTTGAATAGGACAGTATGTAAGCGTGCACTTCAGATTGATATAAATCGATGGAATCTGCTGAAACCGTGAATCGGAGTAAATCACAGAGATGATATTGTTTCACACATGAATTTTGGGAAAGTTAACCTAACCGACTGCGAACAAGCACGCAGCAGTCGAAACGCGATTGCTTTGGTGTATCTGTTTTAAATAACCGTGATATACAAAAAATGGAGAAAACTTTTTACCGAAACGTTCTTGAACTGAATAGTTAGCAAACGGTTGAAAATAAACAATCAATATTTGCAATTGGGGTAACATTTTCCTTTCACTATCGCATAATTAGACCATTTTAACATGTCACCAGTTTCAGCACTTGACTATTTCCATTACCCTATCGTAGAAAGCGTTTTCAGGATTTGATTAGACTTAAGTGATCTGCCTGACCAAGTCTAGTGAACCATTTCTAAATTAATGGACGGGAGAAGTGGATGGCTTTATTTGCATACGGGTTGAAATTCGTGGCACACGGACCGAGGGAATGGCGAACTGAAAAGTTTCCTTTTCGTCCACAGTGTGAAGTTATCGATCTGCACGAACTAGTTGTTTGTTAACACTAAATAGGGTGACAAGAGCCAACAAGGGACAAATAATAATTCCTCTATTGCTTTCAACATTGATCGGTTACAGTTGTTGTGTATATCATACAGTTACCACGATATCTTCACTTTATTGGAATAGATTACGATGACCGTAGTTGAAGATCATTCCATCAGATGATTCAGAACCTTATTACAGTACCACGGTTTTATTTATTGCGGACTTGCTGAAATTTCGCAGTACTGCTTTTTTGATAATAGTTTTTTCAATAAGATGGTTGATTTTACTTTGATAATTTCTATTACGAATTCAATGGGACAGTGCTTTGCAACTTACGACCGAAAAGCATCAGTATCCACTTAGTGGAACAGGTCGAACCTATATTCATGTACAAGTAGGAGGAAATCCAAGATAGTTTAAAATGAATAAGGAAGGATTTTGGGGGACCCTATATTATTGTTTCTTTTAGCATAATTTTCTCAAGATGGTGTGTAGCTAACTGTTACTTGGGAAGATAAAAAAAAGCGAATCCTTCTGATTAAACAAACCTGTGAAAGGATTTCCCGATTACAAACATGCGAACAGTGTGGTGATATTCACATGACAAACACTTCCAGTGCCCACCTATGAGTCACCTGTTTCACTGTTAGTTATTGCCGACGATGAATCATCAAGAGGTAAACGAATGGGTTCAAATCACGTTTCATTCTCATCTTTCCGTACATATTAGTCCTAACCACTGGGAGTTTGTTATTCTATTCTATACCGCATCTACGATTGCTGGACCTTGTATAATGCACGACTCTTATTACCAGGACTTAGGCCGTCAGTTCTCAAGGAGTTGTAAAGTTCTGTAAAGTTCATCCATTCTACCGACCATTCAACTAATGTGTGATATGTGCTATTTTGGAACTTTCGCATACTGAAATGATCATTGGTTACAAGCCGCGGAATACTATACGTTTAATTCCCCCTGTTCTGAGTTGTACTCATCAATTAAAAAATGTCTTTCCTTGTTGCTTGATCTAACCTCTTTTCAGACTGCTACTTCTAGTGGATTGGTTCATGATTCCACTAAAGTGCTTTCCAATTTGTTTGTTTTGCGAATTGTTCAAAACGGGTTCGACATGCATCATCGAGATGAATGAATGCTATCTAGAGCTGCATCCCACAGTCGACATCATTCAATGATAGGATTGAGAATGTTGATAGATTGAGGGGATCAAACGAGTATCGCGGTGTTGGAAGTGAACGCTGTCACACCAGTAGTTACAATCGGGTGACGGTTGTTGAATGATGAGTCATGTGCTGCATGAAGTGACTACCTACGCGCTTAACAACGCCGACTTATTGATGTAGCTCAGTGAATAGTCGAAATAAATCGGTTGGCGATATTTTCGAAAACTGTAAATGAAGCATCGATCTAAAATGTAACAGGGGGTGCACACG